TGTGCCTGTCGGGGCGCGCAGAATTTTTTAATCCTTGGTGGCACTGAGGAGAGGGCCACTCGCAAGTCCTGTTCAACAGAGAGCCGTGACCTCCTGTTGTTCTTCATGTAAATCAGAGTAGAGAACGCCAACTCCAGAGATGGGGTCGTTACTAAAAAAAATGTAATATATTACACTACTTCGTTACTATCTACATAAAGTAAGTCGTTATTTTACTCGCCGAGCACGTACGAACTGCACATGCGTGAGTGGCAATAACTTTCCTTACCAGCAGGCGGCGGTAGTGTGTATTTGTCATTCAAAACAGGCAACAACCGGAAGACAGAGAAGAAGAACAGACTACGTGATAATAAACAAACAACAAATAGCGTGTGCGGTAGCTTCACCTTAGCATGTGTTCTTTGCAGATGTGTGTTGAGGTTTGACCACGTGGTGTTTCCAGCAGTGGATAACAGCTTCTGGCCTGGACACAGTTTGCACCTCACCGTCACATTCCTGTCTATTCTTCGGACGAACTCAAAATAATGCGCATACCTCCACCCCTCGAGAGTTATCGCTGACTCAGCCATGTTTATGCAGCACTGCACGTGGAGATGTGGACGCGCAAGTCGCGCAGATTACGTACATGTAAACCTACAAAGTACTGATATAGTAAATTAAAAAATAATTATTTTTGTGTAGTTGTATATTGCAATAATAATGTATGGTTGTCACAAAATCCCACGGCACACCCGGACTTGCCTCACGGCACACCAGTGTGCCGCGGCACACCGTTTGGGAACCACTGGGTTAGACGATAGGAGCTGATTTTTGGATTATCCGACCGCAACCCGGTGCTCTTTTTTGGCGGGGGGTGCGCATGCCCACCTGCGCACCAGTTATGTGCAGCCCTGGTTATAAAGGAAGTTTGAACCCTCCTTTCCTATCATCTCTAAGAGGCTTCTCAATACTCAAATTTCCCCTCCTCGGTTCCCCTCCTCGAGACTTAGATCCGCCCACAGGAGATGCGAGCGGAGGACCGAGGAGGGGAACCGAGGAGAGAGGAGGGGAAGCAGCAGACGTTTAAATAAATGAGAACTCCTCGCCTCTGAGCGGTCATATTAAAGCGACGTCCGTTCATTATTACGTGGCAACAGCTGCATCAGCTGTCGAGTGTTTTGTCATAGCGCTGTATTTTATAATCTCTGTTAGATCAGCTGAACATTGTTCCCCCACATATTTACTTTGAATTAATTGAGAGTGCGGTATACCGTATAATGAGACAATAACAGGCATAGATGCGGACACACACACACAAATATATTTATATAAATATATACAATTTAAAGTATGAGAGCTCGCACTCTCATAATAACGTAACACAATCAGAGACTGGATATATCCCCCCCCCTCTCTTTGGTCGCTGAAATGGGGAATTGAAATTACGGGCCAAAAGTTGTATTTACAAGTATTAACTTGTAATAATAATAAGCCACTTACAATTTTCCGTGAGATCAGGGAGCAGATATAAGATGGAAGTTTCCCTAACATACAAAGCCATGTTAGGGAAACTTCCATCTTATATCTGCTCCCTGATCTCACGGAGAATTGTAAGTGGCTACTGCCTGAGATCGAATGCATTTTATTAAATGTGCCAACTGCTAGGACTGTCTTAGGGAAGACAGCTTTTCGATGCGCAGCTCCTCTGTCTTGGAATAGTCTGCAAATTAAATGGAAACTGAACAATCTGGTGCCACTAAATGTTTTTAAAGCTCGGTTGGATGCTACTCAATCGGAAGCTATAGGTACCTGTTTATGTGGATAATTATGTAAATGATGCTGTATGATGTCCTTTTGTTGTTCTATTTATGTTTTTATGTTTCATGTGGAACTACTTGAGCAGGTCTCCCTTGAAAAAGAGATCAATGATCTCAATGGGATTTATCTTTATAAATAAAGATTTGAAATTAAATTAAATTAAAAGTAAGCAGACACCAAACCAACTGAGACCCGTCTGTCCGCCGCATCTACGCACTGTACAACACACACCAACATACTGTACCACACACACACACACACACACACACACCACACACACACACACACACACACACACACACACACACACACACACACACACACACACACACACACACACACACACACACACACCACACACACACACACACACACACACACACACACTGCCTACAACACACACTTACAGCTACTAAAGCATAATCAGGCTACAGCCGTTGTGTATTTTATTATGTGACGCACTAAATGGTCTTAGAAAAATATCGACTCTTTGTACTACAGCAAATAAAGAGAGTAATGTAGGCCTGTTATACTGAGTGATATTGTACACTGCTCTGCTTTCTGCACGGACCTCACAACTGTTCTCTCTGTAAACATCGCAACGCGATGAAAGCAGTTACTAAAATAATATCCAGGGGATGCATGCAGAGCTGTCATTGGCTGAGATAAGTCCGGCCGTGCGTCACGCCTCCACCGTTCCCGGAAATGCATCCGCGGAGGAGCCGTGGAGGAACCATCAGTGTATCCTCGGTTATAGCTCCTCCAGAGAGCCTCCTCGACGCTCGATGCTCGGTCCTCGGTGTGCATTTAGAGAAATGAGACGTCCTTCAAAATGGCGCGCTGAAATTCATTTCCGGGTCACTACCGGAGGACCGAGGACCGAGGAGTCGAGGAGGGGAAATTTGAGTATTGAGAAGCCTCTCTAGAGAATTCGAACAGCACTTATCATGGCTGCCACTGAGGGACTTCCGGGTCATTTCAGTCCATTAGGAAGGTTCCTAAACTAAATGGACTATTCGACTTCAGCCTAGGAGTCTAGTGGACGGTATCAGTACTACAAGTAAAACAATATAAAATAAATATTTTTTTGTTGTTGTGTTTTTTAATGAATTACGTTGTTTATAAATGAATCTGAGGGCCGCAAAAAGAGGAGGTGGAGGCCGCCATTTGCCCATCCCTGATATAAGTCATTAAGCTCTATTGGATCCACTTGGAAAAAAATGGATAGATAAACATTTATATTGTGGTTTGTTTCTGTTTTATTTAAATGTGTTGCATATAGTGTTCTTATTGCTGGTAAAGATTATGTTTCTAGTACCTAGAGTTTCAAAATGACAAATATGTTTTTAGATTTTTTTTTAGATATGTTTTTTTTTTCTGTTAGTTTACAAATCTGTGATCAGCATTGGGCCAAAATACATTTCTGATATGCTTTAAGTTATAAACCTGGTAGGTCCTTTAAAGATCTTTAGGAATGAGAGTAGTGACTGCAATTGTAAAAAAAAAAACTGCACAGATCAGAAAATGGAAGGAAACCCAATAATTGAAAACATAAGGTTATTTAACTCAGGTTTACTTTTCTAAATAAGAAACTATTGTCAAATGGTAATTTTAGTAGGCCAACTAACTAACAGTATCAAATAGTTTGTAAACTTGTAAGACTTTACATTTTTGCATACATATTTGTAATCACACCATCAGTTGTTTTACATCATGATCAGGTTAATTGCACATGTTGTTATAAGAAGCAGCTTTTGATGGCAGCCATAATATGATTTTAGCAGTTAGCTTGTATGTTGTTGGCTAACGCTATGAGCTTTATAAACAGCTAAGGGCATGTAGCTGTAGAATATGTTGGTGTGTGTGTTGGCCCAGGAAGTGGTTACTAACCAAACATAAAACACTTTAACTCATATTAAAATCTATCAGAATAAAAATGATGACATAAGAACACTGATTGCTGTTGTAATCAATCAATCAATCAACAACTTTATTAATCCCGCAAGGGGCAATTGGTTATGAGCAGCAGCTTATGTCATGTACACAGGCAGGAACATACAAGAAGAAAAACACACAGATACACCCGGGAGCTGCTAAATTGCTCCGTTTTGTAATAAAGTGTCACTGGATGTCACTGTTGCTCTGTAAACACAAGAGTTCATTTATCCTGATTGTACCTGAAGTATCATGATGGCTTCCATTGGCCGATGACTCCTTATGTAATTGGAGAAAATAAAACTACTAATAAATTTTCATGAAAAAAAAGAAAACCGAATTTTGATGAAATAATTTGATGATGATGATGATGATGATGATGATGATGATGATGATGATGATGATGATGATGATGATGTAGATGTGATTGTTTCATTCTTATTACCTGCATCTGAATCACTGACCCACGCAATTTAAACCACTTTTAAAACGAACAGTGTAAATGAAAGCAAATATGTACATTAGGATCCCGGAAGTCGTCCAGTTTGGATCCTGCTTGGCTGAATGTTGCCTTTAAGGGCCGTAGGAATAATTATATAATCCTTCAATAGATAGAGAATTTAGAACAAATTGTATTCAACGCAATATTTTATGTCAATATATCTGAAACAGTTAATTCATTTAAATTACCGTGTTAAAATATATATATTTTTTTTTTTATTCCAGCAATACGTTTTTTATTTTGTTTCATTTAACAACATTATCTATTTTTTTGTTAGTTTATTTAGGAGTATTTTATTAATTTTACCATCTAACTGATGTGTATTTGTTTGTTTTTTCCATATGTAAAGCCCTTTTTTGTATGCGTATCATTATAAATATTATTTTATTATTATAATTATTATTGTGTTATACAATTATTATCAGTTTTCTTTTTACTCTTGTTACCTTGTTGTTGAGATCATTGTGAAGTTTGTGTCTTTTTTCTTTTCTTCTATTGCCTATAAATGATGCAGGTCGATATAAATGTATTTACAATTCAAATAATTCATTTACAAATCATTTCAAGTTATAAAATGTACAGCAATGTGTTCCTCAGTTGCACCACACGTCATTTTATAACAAAAACAACATCATGAATAAGCATTACCCATGTTAAAAACGTTTAAAAAAAACAACAGCAGCTATTTTTGACATGACATTCCCTTTGTAGGTGGATATTCCGAGCAGCCCCTGAACGCAGCAGGAACAGAGCGGTGGATGAGGGAGATTATCCTCCTTTACTGCGACTGTTAACCTGCTGTTAACACGGATCCTAACAGGAGGTGTTGGTTTGTGACATAACATGGGAAACGCCGACACCAAACTGCACTTCAGGAAAGCGGTGATACAGCTCACAACCAAAACACAGGTCAGTTATTTTAAAAGAAAAAACTAACGTCGCTTTTGTTTTAAATTCAGCTTGTGGAGATAAAGTTAGAGTGCCAGATGGTAGCCTTAACTGAAGCCTCAATGACACAAAGTGGAAGGGAAGTCAAGTAAACACTTCAGTTAGTTTACAAATGAAGATGTCCTGACATAATATACATACATTTTGTGAAATATGGATATTTTCCTCTGTATTTGTTGCGTTTTAAGAGACTGACAACAGGCAGGTTGGCCCTATTGGTGTTCTGAGTCCTTCACCTGTCTTGTTTGTTTTGTGAAATTATCCTTAAATAACTTGAACATGTGACATGTGATTGTTACATGTTGAATTTAATTAGTTTTCATGCAGGCAGCAAGTGTTTCCCTCGCAGGTGTATTTAAGGTGGAACTAACTAGATGAAGTTGATAAGGATCTACTACAGACTCTGCACTCAGGCCTGTTTTTAGTGTTCGACAATCGATTAATCGAGTTACCTTCAAGTAAAAGAAAAATACATCTGTGATAGTAGGCTTACATGTATTCGGTTTTTTGGACAAACCAAAGAATGTTGACATTTTCTGAATGTTTAGGACTAATCGATTAATCACTTACAATAAATAACCGACTGATTATTTGGTATTGAAAAGTATCCTTAGTTGGTTGCTTGTGTTTGTTGTGTCCAACATAATTATTCTCTTTATGTTAAATACAGAACCAATTATATGTAGAATGTAATGTCTGACTGTCATGTTGGAAAAGCAAACATTATCTACAGCTTTCATATAAATGTAGTGAAGTACAAGTACAATATTTATCTGAGAAGTATTTTGATAAAATGAATATAAAAGTATCAGTAGAAGTAGCTTGAAATTGTACTTAAAACAGTACTCCCATAGACTTTATAGGGTTTAACACAACATAAAGTCAGAGACAAATAGGACAAAGGAACAGTAAACAAAAGGGATAAATACACTAAGGTTAATAATAAATATATAAATATTCTGTTTTCTTCTGACTATAGCTGATTCGAGAAAACTGTATTCAATAATAGGTGCACAGTAATGAGCAGTACAACATGATGATTCTCCAGACTGAGATCATGATACACACTCAAAGAATGACTTTTTGTCCTCTCCTGCAGCCTGTAGAAGCCACAGACGATGCCTTCTGGGATCAGTTCTGGGCCGACACCTCCACCACAGTCCAGGATGTGTTCGCTCTGGTGCCGGCTGCAGAGATCAGAGCTGTGAGAGAGGAGTCTCCATCCAACCTGGCAACCCTCTGCTACAAGGTAACCTGCATTCATCAGGATGGGGAGGAGATGTAAATGATGGTTTTCAGTATGTATCCAGTCAGAGATGTCCTGGACTCAAATATACAAGCCATTTTCTGGAATTTTGAGACAATATGTTTTTATAGCATCTCAAAAATCAAGTTTCAATACATTTCCCTACCTAACCAAAGTGTGTTGTCTTAGTGCAGCTATTCTTCTGTCAGAGTCACAGGAATGCTGCTGTTTGTACACACACTTTACACACATCACTGTTTGTAAAGGTCAAAGGTTATTTGAGTAAAGCAGATGGGGTGTTCCTTGTAGACCTGGCTGACAAATAAAATGTTCAACAAAAGGAACAAAGAGACAGGAAGACAGGATAACCTACATTTCTTACAGCAAGGAACAGTTGGACATTGAAATCTTTAATCCCTTAATGTCAAGTTTTCCTTTTAGAAGCTTTGTTGTTGTTGTTATTCCACTCTGTACTCTATATTCTCTTTCAGTTTGATTAAGCTCACTATGAACTATTAAAGATGTTTGAACTGAGTGAAATATTGAATCCCAAAACTCTGTGTTTCTCATGGCCGCACCATCTTGTAAAACAGGGGTATTCCTGATGTCTTGTGTGCCATTTTAGACACACTTCCCAAAACATGTTGCTGTTATATGTCGTATCTTTTCAAACATAGGAATATCTACTAGAATTTGACATAAATATCTGTGGGATTGAACAATGTTTGTCTGCATGGTGTTTTTAATGACTTCTCACCACCAATCGCTGCTGTCTTTGTTAACCAGAACCAACAAATTAAATAAAATCTTCCTTATGGGAAGATAGGTCTAGAAATGTCAGCTGTCTGCAAGGCTCACCATTATCACATCAATTTAAAATGAAGTCAAATTAACTTTGGAGATATGTGTATGACACCTGCTCAAGGTTGGGGGCACAGGATGGAGAGAATATTGATGTTGAACACAGAATCTTACAAAAGAAATATATCATAATTGAAATCATAAATGTATAGACACCTGACTTTATAGTATTGTTTTAAGTTTTCTACATGTGCTTTTCTCCCTCAGGCAGTGGAGAGGTTGGTGCAGGGGGCTGACTCCGGCTGCCCCTCAGAGAAAGAGCGGCAGATCGTCCTGAACTGCACCCGCCTGCTCACACGCATCCTGCCCTACATCTTTGAGGACGCTGACTGGAGAGGCTTCTTCTGGTCCACCGTGCCTGGGGCCGGTCGAGCGGGGGTAGGACTCACACTGACACTCAATCTGTTCCAGGAAGTAGTGCTGAGCAGAAACACTCTTGTATAATTCTTGCACTTTCTGGTGTGTTTCCTGTTTGACGCTTAGTCTGCCTCCTGTCTGAGGACATGAGGAGGGGGAAGCTCCAGAACTGAAAGGTCTTCAGGCTGTTAACTGCATCATTAATGATTTCACATTGAGGCTTGTGAGATATTCAGTCCTGGGAGGGGACTGTAATAGGAAAGTTATGCATTGAGGAAGCAATAATCAAACAAAAATCACAAACCTGTGTGTGTGCGGGTTAAAAGGGTAAATGGACTACATTTTATATCGCCCTTTTCCAGTGTTCGCAGCTCCTCAAAATGCTTTTACATATTTTTGACTTTTTATTTATCAAGTCAGCAGTCATCCACATTCATACAGAGGCAGAGGCTGCCATACACGGTTCCACCTGCTCAGGGAGACAGACAGACAGACACTCACTCACTTTCACACACCTATGGCCAGGCCAATTTGGGCTTTAGAATCTTGCTCATGGACACAGCAAGATGTTGACTGCAGGTGTTAGGGATCTAACTTCCGACCTTATGGCTGGTGTATGACCTCTCTACCTCTACCAGTGCACTGATGTATTATCAGTTTTCATACTGGTCAGGTTTTGGTCCAGAGTGTGTGGATGAAGCAAAGTTAAATATTACTAATTTAACAGCTGGCTAGTTAGCTATCTATCTAATTGCCATGTACTTTCATACTCCACTGGCTACTGAATGGTGTTCATGTTGAATTTTAAAGTTCCCTTAATAGCGCTCAGAGAATACCCATATAACGTGCTTTGCTCACAATAATTGCAGTCCCACGCTTGTGATGTGTTTCTGGATCGCAGTGTTATGCTTCACCACTGATCAGTTGGTGGCAAACACTAGAGTTAGAAGAAGATGACGGCTCCCAAATAAACAGTGCATGTCTCAAAATTCACATAATTTTCAAATGTTTTACGAGAAAGGGAATGCTAAATCCAAGCAGTAGAAATCTCCAGATCTTTGGGAGAATAACAAGCCTTGATGTTTTTATTGGTTGATTTAATTAACAAAAGAACAACGAATCAAAATTGTACCGTTAAACTTATTCTCAGAGGGAAATGTATAAATCTTCTGCAGCCTTGCCAAACCTGCAGTTGAACCTGAAGGAGAACAGCAGTCAGAGAAATCCTATCCCACTGCACTGCAGACAGTTTGCAGCGTTCAATCCGTCCGCAGCCCCTCAGTTTTACACACATCAGAGGATTTGAGATTAGCACGTATAATAATCCACAGTGGTTAGAAGTGATGGACAGAGCAGGATCTGTAAAATGAGATGGTTGCTGCTGTCAACGTCAGTGTCTGAAACCCACCCCTCCCTCCCCCCTCATCTCTCCCTCACCTCTGCCTCATCTCTGCCTCCTGACGGCTGCTGGTTCTCTGGTTACCTGGTCGACCAGGGACCCACCATCCAAACACTGCCCATATTGTCTGTCCCCCCCCTATCCCTCCTCCTGGCCATGCAGTGGTTGAATTAAAAGGGATTGAATGTCCCTTAATTACAGTGTGGGGCTGGAGTAAAGTGCAGAGCTGCAGCAGTTGGAAGAGAATAATGGGTTGTTGGTAGTTGTATGAAATCAGTTTGTGGTTCTGTGGGGAGAAATTGCTATTGATTTGATATGTTGGGAACAAAAGTGAAACATTTAGATTTTATAGTAGGGGCGGTCACGATATCAGATTTTCCCCACATACATAATATTGTGGTCAAAGGAATTCACGAGGACTATAATATCAATAGAATATTTAGGAAAAAAATTGTTTAATTGCTATCAGTCATATTCATTTTTAACTTGAGGGTTAGATAAGAATATTGATACCACTCTGAAGTCTGTATGATACATTTGAAGCTGTAGCAAGCAACCCATTAGCTTAGCTTAGCAGAAAGACTGTAAACACAGGGAGACTGCTAGCTTGGCTCTGTCCGAAGCTAACTAAAGCTATCTACAAACCTCTCAAGCTTAAGTATTAACCAGGTAAAACTCATTTGTCAAATCTTTACACTAACATATGTTTCAACAATTTATTGGGGAGACGATGTGACAAGGTATCTGTTTGCCTCCTTTAAGTCTTTGTGCTAGGCTAAGCTAACAGTTTTCTGAACGTGGCTAAGCTTTCAGATACGAGACTCATATACATCTTTTCATCTAAACTCTGGAGATTACATATCTCTATGCATATATCTTATTACATTTGACTGTTAATACTGTTTACTTTGACTGAAATAGCAATATGAATGCAGGTTGTTTACTTTATTAGTTATTAAGTAGTGTTGCTACTTTACTGTTGAGGAATGATCTTAAGTAATACTTTCTTGTTTAACCACAAATCACCACATTCTTAATGTGGTGTCTATAATAGCAAAACTTCTTCGATCTCCTCTCTTTGTCCTCCAGCATTTGGATGAAGATGGTATTGATGATGAATCACGGCCGCTGGCTGAATCCCTGCTGCTGGCCATCTCTGACCTGCTCTTCTGTCCAGATTTCACCGCTCAGAGCCACAAGAAGAACAGCCCGGTGAGTGCACAGTACCCTTCTACATTACACAGCCACTCATGTGTGGCAGACGTTCAGCTGTGGCCTGATTATCCCTCAGTGCAGCTGGACGCAAACACCTGCCAATATTCAGAATCTAATCAAGGAGAACCAAAGCTTTGCATCGGGCTTGTTCATTATCCGTGAATGACATTTCTGCAGAACATGTGTTGGTCTCAAAAGAACAATAGTCAACATTATGTGTCATTTTTATGTTCCAATCAATCCAATCCAACTTTATTTATATAGCACTTTAAAACCTCCAGACCAAAGTGCTACAGAGAGATACATCAAATATAAAATCACACAGCTCAGCTCACAAAACATAAAATAAATACATTTAAAATAAAAGATACAAACACAAAACAAACCAGAATAAACGTAACAATTGCAAAATAAAAAACATAAAAACAGCCATATAATAAAAACAATAGACCACTGAAAGCAAATAAAAGCAACAATCTACTTGTTTACAAATGCTAAGGAGAAAAGGTGGGTTTTAAGACAGGATTTAAAAACAGACAGTGTGGGAGCCTGTCTGATGAGCAAGGGCAGGTCGTTCCACAGTTTAGGGGCGGCAGCAGAGAAAGCACGGTCCCCTCTGCTCTTAGACTTAGTTTTTGGCACCCTCAGGAGAAACTGATCAGCTGACCTGAGAGTGCGGAGTGGGCGTTTAGCTGTGTAACAGAGAGGTAGGGCGGGGGCCAGGCCATTGAGGGCTTTAAAAGTAAATAAAATACTTTTTAAATGAATCCTCGAATGAAAGGGCAGCCAGTGGAGTGAAGATAAAATGGGGGAAATGTGCTCGTGTTTGCGTGTGCCAGTTAGTAGCCGTGCTGCTGCATTTTGCACCATCTGCAGGCGAGCAAGGGAGGATGCACTTATCCCCATATATAGTGCATTAAAATAATCTAAGCGGGAGGTGGAAAAAGCTGTTTTTAACAACTGCCTTGATCTGGCTGTCCAGCTTGAGTTCAGGGTCCATCTTTATCCCAATATTTGTGATGGTAGGCCTGGTGGAGTGGCCCAAGGATTCTAGGTCTATGGGAGTGGTCCGAGGGGCACCAAAAACCATAACTTCGGTTTTGTCATCATTTAATTTTAAAAAGTTGCATGACATCCAGGACTTAATGTCTTTAACAGTGGTTTAACTGAATATGAGTCGTTCTTTTTAAGTGGCACATATATTTGGAAATCGTCTGCATAGCAATGAAAAGTGATACCGTGCTTCCTAAGAATGGACCAGAGAGGAAGCAAATACAGGCAGAATAACAGGGGGCCTAACACTGAGCCTTGTGGAACCCCGCAAAGGAGAGGAGCAGACGAGGACTCAGAGTCCCCAAGGCTGACGCAGAAAGTCCTACCCGTCAGATACGACCTAAACCAATCGAGGGCTTTGCCCCTAATGCCCACCCACTGCTCCAAACGAGCTATCAGGATCTCATGGTCCACTGTATCAAAAGCGGCCGTTAGAGTAAAAGGGTAATGCATTCACCTGAGTCTGTTGCTAAAAGGATATCATTAAAAACTCTTAAAAGAGCTGATTCCGTGCTGTGCAAGGTTTTAAAACCAGATTGGAAGACCTCGAGTACCTTGTGCTCTTCCAGAAAAGTGAGAAGTTGACTGTATACAATCTTCTCTAGGATTTTGGACATAAAAGGCAATTTGGAAATGGGCCTAAAGTTTACAAGAACTGTGGGATCCGGACTAGGTTTCTTAATAAGTGCTTGTACAACTGCATGTTTCCAATTTTCCGGAACAACCCCTGTGAGCAGACTGCTGTTAAAAACGTCAAGAACAAAAGGTCCTACAGTGTGGAATACCTCTTTAAAAAATCGAGGAGGGACAGGGTCGATTGGAGAACCAGAGGGCTTTATTTTGGAGACAATCTCCTGCACAGAGGACAGAGTCATGGGCTCCAAACGGTCAAAAATAGCAAAGCAGGGCAGAGACAGAGGTGTCGTTTGATGGAGCAGTGATTTGAGTCCTAGTTGAAGTGACTTTATTAATAAAAAATTGAAGAAAATGTTCACAGACTGCAGGGGAGGTCTCCACACAGGTAGTCTGAGGGGCATTAAGAGCTGAATCTATTGTCTGAAACAGTACACGAGGTTTGTGTATCAATGGTGATGATGACCTAGTTAAAGTATAAGTATACTGAAAGCAGACAAAGGCACAACTGTACTCTGAACCTGTTCATTTGCTAAGGTTGACCGATTTACAGAAAATTACTAAATGCAATTATTTCAATGATAATGCAAATGTAATATATTATTTACTATATTAGACAGTTTGCTCATTTTGCATCATTATTCTCATTATCATTGAAAAATATGTTGAAATTATCACGTTTCGGTTTTCTTGAAGAGTTCTGTATCAAACAACTATGTTTTGTCAAGTCCGTATATGATTTGTCCACATATCCACAATACTTCATAGTATATTCACACATTTCACAAATATAGCACTATTTCCGAATTGAGTATTCCACTAATCTTTAATGCAATTTCAATACAATAAAGATTCTGCATCGCATACTGTAGAGATGAAGCCCTAGCAAATACATTTAAATTGATATCAATGCTCCCATTTAACTTGCAAACAAGTATTCTCCAAGATTTGTAATGGTCCTTCAAGAGTCTTTCCACAGAAGGAGGAATACACCTTTCTTTATGTGTTAGCCCTTAAGCTACAACAATGTCAATGCCTTTATGTAAAAGGCTAGTCCCTGTTATTGAGCCCTGAGGCGGTACAGTCACTGTTCTTATCTCCACACAATCTTCAGTAGCTGGAGTTAATGAGTGACTCTCCCTGAGACAGAGGGGGAGGAGTGGCCATGTTTGTCAACTGGGCTGAGGAGAGGAGGGTGGACATGTCTTAATCGTGCTGAGCAAACATGTGTGGTGCTGGAGAGCATAGGAGGTGACAGGAGGTGTAAGCTCTGCTGCAGGTCTTAAAGGTACCCTATTATACGGTTTACCCTCAATATATTATAGTTCTCAGTTATATACAAAACATGTCTCTGAAGTGTTTGGTTCGGAAAACCAAACAGATCATGCATTGCAGCATCCCATAATCCCCTCTGTTTCAGCCCTGTTCCAAAAGTGCTGATTCTCTGTCTGTTACTTTAGATGAAAATAAGGAGCCCCTCCCCACGCCCCTCTGAGAGACATTTGGTTAGAAAGAACACAATGGTGCTCTAGGAGGAGATTCAGGTGATAAGGGGGGGGGGGGGTGTTACCTTGGTTGGTGATTGGCTGATGGTTACACAAGACAAAACATCGTTATGACATCATAAAGTGGCCAAAATTTGATCAGCTCATTTTCAGACACGTTTTTATATAAATAGATCAGGACAAAAAGGGAAATAATCTTTTTATCTGAAACGTTCAGAATCTCTTTACACAGAGGGGACACATGTTGATGTATAAAAGACATGAAAAAGTGGATTTTGCCTAATAGGTGACCTTTAACCTCTCCATGGTCGGAGCACTCCTCACACCTCTCAGTCAGCCGCCGAGGAAGCATTCAAAATGCCCAGCGGCTGTCGTCTGTTCCCACCTGCTTCTGTGACCTGTGGAGCATGCACACACAGAAACCTGGCTTAGGGTTAGTTTTCACTTTCCAGTAAAGGTGTGGTGATTTCAAGGTGAAAAGGCATGTGTTAAAGAGTCAGTACACCCAAAATACCAAGAAATGGACGCATTTAAAAAAAGATAAAGCCTTGGCGCGAGAGCCACGGATTCAAATATATTTTTGGTAGTGTTACATCTCATTCATAGTCACTTTTCTCTGTTTTTGCGTTTCTTTGTGGTCGTATTTCATCCCTTGTTGGTTGTTTCATGTCTTTTCTTAGTATTTTTCTTTCTCTTTTAGGATGTTTTGCATGTCTTTGTTATCCCTTTTAGCATCTCCTTGTGGTTGTATTCTTTTAAATGTTGCATCTTTGCAGTTGTTTTCTCTTTTTGTAATAATTTTGACTCTTTTGGTAGTTTTTGTTCAATTTTATTAATTGTTTTGTTCGTATGTCTGTTTTTTGTTTTATGTTAGCTTCTCCCCAGTTAAATACTGGATTCTTTTAATCCCTTCAATGTTCTTAAATCATCGAGATTATACAATTACATTTCTCCTAAAAAGTCATATGAATGTGACAAAGATGTAGTTTTCGAATCACAATCCAAAATCACAAAATGGATGCTTCCTGGGCTTGCCTCATCACCAGTGAATTTACGTGTGGTATGGCAGGGTGCCCTTTGTTGTCAGTTTACTTATAGAGAACAACGGCAGCACCTTGTCACATCTATAAATGACAATCGGTGCTGAGGTGTCACATGCTGATATTGTCAGCTTAGTCCTCTTGTAGATTCCCATGATGTAAAGTAGGTGTGAACACAGTCAGTAGCTGTGAAATGTGGCCCTTTGCAAATATTGATGTAACCTGATATTGTTCTATGGCTCTGAATAAGAAGTGAGTCCACAGTTAAAAAACGCAGTTCAGTGTTTTTAGCTGAAAACCTATTGTTTCCTGTTCTCCTTGTTGTAATTGAATGAACCTGGAGCAGGTGCGTCCTTTTGTGTAGACCTCTCTTTAGGATATTGTGTGTGTTTGAGAGTCCAGACATCTCCTCAATATCAAATATCTATTAATTCTAACAGAATTTTGTCATTTCACTTCCCAATGTTTATTATAACAGAGAGCCTACAGATATTTCCATCATTGCATATTCTCTTCATTCTGTTTTCCCAGAGTTTAAGGCAGTGTTTCTCCAAGTGGGGGGCGCAGAGACCAGGAGGAAAAATGACTACTTATGACAACAACAAAAAAGTATTGATTCGAAAATAATATGCTACAGTACAAGTACGTCTGGGTCTCAGAAAAAACACTTCTGGTGCTAGCGAGCTACGCTAACGGATATAAGGAGCTTTTTCAACAACAAGGTGGAGGAGAGTCCTCTCCTGTCAGACTGAGAGGCTCAGTGAGCTAAAGGACTCTCTGTGTTTAGATAGTTAACTTTAGTCCAAGTTATCTCAGTGGGTCTCAAACGGTTTTGAGTCACGATTAATGTAAACAATTATTTCCGCGGCACACGTTTATATGATCATTATAGTTATAAAAAAACAAGAGAATAAATGAAAATCAGGTTTGAAATACTGTATGCCAGTAAAAAAAGAATAAAGTTTAAAAGGGGAGTGATTTGTAAAATATCCATAAAGAAATAGAAAATCTGTTAACAGTTCTGTTTCATATGGGTGTTGAGAGATGTATCCATAGATCTCTCCATGTTGCTCTCAAAGTGCACCAGATTGATGCTTTTAACTTCAATATTTAAAAATAAATCTTCCCGGGGGAGCATGCCCCCGGACCCCCCTAGAGGGGGAGAGGACCCCCCTATGTGAGGTCCACACACCACCTATAAAAATAGCACTTTACCCCTTCTTACACCTATATGCCGTGAGCTGATTATCGAGCCTTCATTGTAACAGTCACGGGTACACTGTGTATATGCGTGGGGAGTGTTTCAGTAGAAAATTCAACTGTAGCGACCGGTACATTAATGCGAAACCCTTCATGTTTGAGCACCCTCTATGAAACGTCAAGCTACCCCACAGCACCCCCTAGAGAAATCTCTGGCGCCGCCACTGAGCCTGCAACCCCGTTTTGAAGAAGTCTGCAGTGTAAAACAGGCTCATGCAGCCACCTGTGATAAGACACACCTTTTGCCAAATATCAGCATTTTCTTTCTTTTCATTTTTTTTGCAAAGTATTATAACTTATTGTTTTGGCAAAGGGATTGCACAATTGTATTATGTATTCATTTTTTGGAGCACACAGACTTATAGAGCATTGTTTTATTATCACTGTTCTAGCAAAGGGATTTTTATTTTTTTTTAAAGGAATGTTCACGTTCATATTGATGTATTGTAATAAATGTTAAGTTAGCCCATTATTTTTTTTTTTTCTCCAAAGGGGGGGGCCTGACAGAAAATGTTTGAGAACCACTGGTTTAAGGTGATGCCTTCAAGTTCCTCCAAAAGTACATTTACAATAATACATTCCGGGTATATTGTATGCCAATACTCAATACACATTTTTCTACAATAAATACAATGAAATGAATGAATAAGTTGATACAAATAGTGTGAGTGCTTCAAGGCTTGGTTATAATGACTTCAATTATAAATCAATTATCAAAATTAAAAAATTGGAAATGGTATGGTAGCCTAAATGAGAACATCAACAACATGTTTATGCCTTTGTCATTGTCAGGTTGTCCTTGACATGACCTATTTGTTGCTCTGCTCTCTGCTGCAGGACACAGCCGAGGACATTCGCTCCATAGACAGCTGCGAGTACATCTGGGAGGCCGGGGTGGGCTTCGCTCAGTCCCCTCCTCTGAACTACATCCACGACATCAACAGGTGAGACTGCATCCCAGCAGGGACTGTGGAGAACTTACTTTTAGTTGTCTTGTTCATGTCAATTAAAAAGAAATGTGGTAGAAATGTTTGCAATCAAAACCGTCCATAGCAATTGGGTAACTTGTTTTTGTTATTTCACATATCAACATAACCAAGTCTGATGGCATTTTGCCTGAAGGTGGGACAACAGCGACATGATGAATTTAAATGGCCGTCACCCTGGATTCATTGACCTCCAAATACATCGCTACCATCAGCCAATCTGAAAAATCAAGCTAAAACTTGTTACAAGAAATAACAGTCAAATAATACCAAAGATATGTTTGTGGTAGTTTATAATAAACCTGGTTGAAGGGGTTGTCTACCAGAGAGCACTGACAGGTCTTTTTTTCAAATCGGTCGGGCTATAGTATAAAAGCTTTCTGGTAAATGTTTAAATAACATTGATTTCTTTTGTTTTCTTGTCTGTTCAGGACAGAGCTGCTGAAGCTGCTCCTCACCTGTCTCTCTGAGGCCATGTACCTCCCCCCCTCCTCTGAGAGTAAGAACCCAAACCCCTGGGTGACCTTCTTCTGCTCCTCAGAAAACAGGTGACACAAACACACACATCCTCAACATGTGCATAAAGTGAGGCACCCTAAAATCATCTTTAGTGCAGCTTCTTCTAGAGATACTATCGGAAAGATAACATTGTTTTTGCAAATGTACTACTAGTCTATGACAGTTGTTCATAGATTTACCTTTTTGGAACAATAATAACTGTAAATATATACTTTATATAGGAAATATTTTGTAAAATGTTGATACAAAAATCTGTCAAATAAATTGGCTGCAAACTGGGTTTTTCTTGGGCACATTGAATTGCCATTTTTAAATATATATCCATATATTTATGAATAGGAGTCATATCTACAAATAAGTATTTTGTATCTATGAACTCATAACAAATTAATACAAAAGAAACGCACATATATGCAGTGTTAAAAAAGTGAATGGAAGAGATTTAATACACTTTTTTCCAAATTGTTTAAAAATCCTGTCTTTGACTATTGATAAAAGTGTTTTCTTTTTCTAAAAAGAATTGAACGCTTTTAAACTTAACTAAGATATGTCCACACAGGAGACATTTTAAGAGAAAAATAACAGTCAAAAACAGAGGAAGATAAAAATAGAACTATGAAATTCCCCAGTGGGAAAAGCGTCCTTGAACATGTCTCACCCTCTGCTATGCATTACCCCACACTATGGGACATGTAGCCCCCTCTGAAGAGCCCCTTGCTCTGAACACACTGATAGCCCTCCATGGCCCTGACCTCCACCTGTCCTTCACTGCCCCCCCCCCAGACATGCCCTGCCTCTGTTCACCTCCCTGCTCAACGTGGTGTGTGCCTACGACCCCGTGGGCTACGGCATCCCCTACAACCACCTGCTGTTCTCCGACCACCGGGAGCAGCTGGTGGAGCAGGCGGTGCAGATCCTGATCGTCACCCTGGAGCACGAGGCCGGGTCGGCCACAGGCTCCGCCCTCCAGGCCCTGGACACCTCCGCAGCCCCCTCAGAGGTGGAGGAGCAGGAGGTGAGAGGGGGATCATTTTTATTATTAGAATAAAATGCAATCGTTTACTGATTCAGAGTTTAAAATCATGCATTTGTTCTTTTTTCAGCCAGCTGGACCTGATAACCTCTTTGTGAATTATCTCTCCAGGATACACAGAGAAGAGGTAAATTATGGATGTGCCAATCACATTTCAGAATCAATAATGGCTCGATATGGCCAATACACTATCGTAGGAAAAATCATAATCTGACATGACCCATTAGTCTAGTATGTCCAGTATTTTAAACTCAAATGAGTTACATTTGCTTTATTATTATTTTTTTACATTTACATGTCTTTTACCTGATGCTTTTATCCAATGCGACTTAAATACTTTTTAACACCGTAGACATGCCTATAGGAGGAGCAATTTGGTGTTAAGTGTCTTACCCAAGGACTCTTAAAGGTGGGGTATGTAATTTATTTCAGAATTATTTTTTTTGTTATATTCCATGGAATGCTCTTAACATCCGATAGCAATGAATACATTAAATGCTTTGACAATAAATACATACAAAAAATGTCCTCTGTGGAAGCCGTAGCGCTGTAAAAAGCACGACCAATCATCTGAGCCCGGCTAAAGTAACTGGATGGCCTACCTGCCCGTCAGCCTTCCATCTGTGCACAAACTTATCTCGTGCCCTCATTGGTCATGTGCGCGTACGTGTGTGTTGGAGGAGGGGCTCTGTGAGGAAGTGGCAGATTTGTTCCAGCTGTGTATTTTCAAATTCTAGTGCACTCGAGCTGGTTTCTCTAAAATTACCTACCTTTAAGTTTAATTTTGATTGTTTCCTTGGTGCTCAAACCTGCTGCTAAAAAGTTCAATGTGTGGAAAAGTTTTAAATAAAAGAAGCAGCAGTATTCCATAACTAAGTCATGGTGTGTGCTGTGGCAAGGCAAGTTAATTTATATAGCGCATTTCAACACAAGGTAATTCAAAGTGCGTTACAAAAAACAATAAAAGCATTCAAATATAGTGCAACAAATCATATAGACTTTCAATCTTCCTGACCTTCCATGTCAGAGAACATTGGCTAGTCTTAACTCTTATCAGCTGTGGGTCGACAGCTCAGCACGTCTATGTTATGTGACTATATTTTGGAGAAAATAATCTGACCCAAGGAGAGAGATGTCACCTACTTTTATGCTCCCTACAATAGAAATACAATGTTAGATCAGAGTATACAACATCTGAGCTTTATTTGAATAAATGTTATACCAATAGACAGGAATCTGATCAAATAATTCAAATGAAAGAGTAATATTCCACCGTCCAAAACTATTTAACATCCTACAATATCATCTAATTCTCTGTTCATCAGGACTTAAGTTTTATCCTGAAGGGTCTGGGGCGGCTGATGAACAACCCTCTGGTGCAGACCTACCTGCCCCGCTCCACCAAGAAGATCCAGTTCCATCAGGAGCTGCTCATCCTCTTCTGGAAGTTCTGTGACTTCAACAAGGTGTGGAGCACGGTTTATCTGAATGATGCTAAAGCTACAAGATGGAGCAACCTTAGCAATGAACACCGAAAATATAGTGGTGTCATTGAGGGCTGCACGATTTGGAAAAAAATAAGTAATTGCTATAATTTTGACTGATATTGCAATATGCAGGATTTATTTTAAGTTTGTAGAACACTGTTTTTAGGTCACGACTTCTCTGCAGCACCACAATACCTCATTCAGATATTTTCACATATTTTGCTTTTACCAAATATTGTGATTACTGTGATTTGCGATTTTGCACTAATCCATATTGGGATTTCAAATTTTTATTTTTTTATTATTGTGTCAACATAACTTTTGTCTCTTTTGCCTTACTATACTAGCAGCATCGCTTAAAAACACCACATAATATCAAAGGGATTTCCGACAAAGCCCTGTTTTAAAATAAAGCTCTGAAATTCATCATCACATGTAGTTCTTGATGTGAGGGAGTAAGATGGATGAATATGTAAACTCAGGTGTGTTTGTGTGTTTTAGAAATTCCTGTTCTTCGTGCTGAAGAGCAGCGACGTGTTGGATGTGCTGGTTCCCATCCTCTTCAGCCTGAATGATGCCAGAGCAGATCCGTGTGAGTCTCAGGGATTACTTCTATTTGCACATGCATATTGAGATGAGTGCTAACTTGCATAGATGGTTCTTTTATACCCCTGAATAATCTGTCTTTTTATACGCGTGTTTGCAGCTCGTGTGGGCCTCATGCACATCGGCGTGTTCATCCTGCTGCTGCTGAGCGGGGAGAGGAACTTCGGTGTGCGTCTGAACAAGCCGTTCACTCTGCACGTCCCCATGGACATCCCTATCTTCACAGGGACCCACGCAGACCTGCTCATTGTTGTAAGACATGTAATGTTAGAGGATAGTTTATATTCTTTATTTAAAAACACTTCACCCCAAACAGATGAGTTGTATACCAATTACATTCAAGTTACCTTGAATTTTTTTTTCATTAATGAAATTATAAAAACAAAAATGATTTTCCAAATTAATTGATGAAAAAGTTTATACACAACATTTATTTACAAAGTCTCACACAAATCATGCTATATATTCCATGTGTCATTTCGACTCTTGTTTTTTATGTCATGTTTTTTTTCTAAAGCAGCTCTATAAATAAAGTTATTGGATTAATAATAGTAATAATATAACATTTATATAATATTACTGCTGTTGTTTATAATAATAATAATAAATACTAAAAGTATGAGTAAAGTTCTGCTGTCTGTTCAACATTTTCTCTCTGTTTTATTTTGGTATTATTATTATGTAATCACATTTTATTTGATTATTTTTAGATCTTCCACAAGATCACCACCAGTGGACACCAGCGTCTGCAGCCTCTGTTTGACTGCCTTCTTACAATCATAGTGAACAGTGAGCACCACAAAGGAAATGTCGCACCCTAGTGGCTTGATCTCAGAACTGCAGAGAAATATTCTGTGTCATTTTGACATTTTTTTTGCCCTCTACAGTTTCACCTTATCTGAAGAGCCTGTCCATGGTGGCGGCCAACAAGCTGCTCCACCTCCTGGAGGCTTTCACCACCCCCTGGTTCCTCTTCTCCTCGCAAGAGAACCACCACCTCGTCTTCTTCCTGCTCGAGGTCTTCAACAACATCATCCAGTATCAATTTGATGGTGAGAAAATAGATAATATAGTGGCGGTTTGTTAAATATACCACGTTCCTAGGCCGCTTCGTCTGAAAGGATATTGGAAAAGTCCTGACTTGTGCCGTTAAAATTCCCAACATTTGTGAAAAACCCACTCACGGGTGAAGGGTGAAGCTTGAAAGTAAATATAGTGTAGTAAAGTAAAGTAAAACGGAAGCATATATAAGGTGAACAAAGTAGGTCCAAGTACAAAGCCTTGCGGAACTCCGTGTCTAACTTTTGTTTGCATAGAGGATTAAATGACCCGTACAAACTGAGGCCGTTAAAAATTGTTATAAGTAGGACTTAAACCAGCTCCTTTTGTTTCTATATGTTTTGTCATGTCATGTTAACATCAACAAATATGAAAATCAGTTATGTGGCTCTTTCAAACTTCTGACTAAATCTCGCTCACAGGTAACTCCAACCTCGTGTATGCCATCATCCGGAAGCGTAATGTTTTCCACCAGCTGGCCAACCTGCCGTCCGACACGGCATCTATTCAGAGGGTTCTGCAGAAGAAGAAGAAGTCTGGGATCTCCAGGACAAACTCCACAGAGGCAGAGTCCATAGAGAGGAGCAGACCTGCTGATTCTGTTGAGCCGGGAACACTCAAAGCCAGCTTAGTGGCTACTCCAGGTGAGAAAGGAGACAGTACAGTCATTTACAGAGGAAACATTCCCAGTTGATTAACTTACATTAGAATATTACCTTTGTATTACAGTATCTGCAACATACATTTGTTTTTACATATTAGAGTCATTTGTGGTGAATTTGGATATCTCATTTTCGCCACATTGAAAAAAAAAATGTCTCCATGTTTTTACAAATAATCATATCGGTCTTTAAATGATATATAAACAACCACTCTTTTTTGTTATTTTTTGTTTCTTTGTATTCTTTTAGGGTTTCCTTGTTTTTCCCTTTTTCATATTCATTGTGAGTCTCTCTCTGTCTCTTTTGGTCATTATTATTATTATTATTATTCTGGATCTCCATTTAAATCAGTTGTAACAGCTGTGAATTCAAGTTGTCAAATGTGCCCCATGAAGTTTTAAGAAACAATTCAGAGCCACCTTTCAAGCCTGTAAAGAGCTGAAGATTGTAATACTCAACTACCAATATTTATTTGAGTAATTCTCTTTTCCTCTGCAATTCAAAAAAAAGAATGTTTTTATCCGTTAGGAATTGATAAGATAACGGCGAAGTCCCAGGTGAGTGTGGACGGCACCATGATCACCGTGCCTACCTCTGACTCTCCTGCTGACACCAGTGCTGTGGGCGGAGCCAGCGACACAGAGTCCAACTCAGAGAGAGACCACGAGGTACATCACACTTCACATCACTCTATCTTACTGTTTTTCTTACTGCAGGTAAAGTTAAAGTCCTGTGCTTTTATTTTATAATCAGGCATACCATTCAGAGTCGGAAGCAGCGAGGAGTCGGTTATCAAGTGCATCATCATCATCAGCAGCCTGGAGCGCTAACACAGACTGGGTTAGTGGAAGTGTTTTCTACTTTTTACTATTCCTTCTATTTGTATGTATTATATTCATCATGCTGCTTGTGTGTTCTCAGGTGTTGTCATGGAAAGCCAAACTTCCTCTACAGACCATCATGAGGCTGTTACAAGTACTGGTGCCTCAGGTGGAGAAGATTTGCATTGACAAGTAAGAATTGATACACATATTAATCTCAGAAGCATTTACTGACCTATTTTAAAAGAGGTAAATGGCCAGTTTAGTGCCATCTTTTTCAGTCATGGTCGCTCTTGCTGCTCATTCTAACAAACCAGTTATCATTCTGGTAACATAACTGTATTTTAGCAGCAAACTGCTTTTATTCTCCCAGGGAATAAAACCTTTGCATGAACATTTTAATTTAATGATTAATCAATCATCAAAATGTCTGTCAATTCACTAATGGATTATCTCCTTATTGTTGCATCTCTTATGATGAATGTTTAAGCAACCAGTTACCTATTTGCAGATCAAGCAGATACACAGCAACATAACCATCTTTGTGTCCAACTGATTATTATAGGTCCAATATTTACAGTCTTTTAGCTTTGTTTTAGTTTCAACAAACTCCTAAGAGAAATACCTGCTTGTTCAGATGCTAAATGATCCACTTTCTTCACTAGCTAGTTGCTATATTGGTTGTGTTTGGTGTTGGTCAGGTAGTCTAAATGATGGGTTTATGTTGTTAAATGGTAAACCAAAGAAATGGGCTGAAAGACACCAACATGTACGGCTCTGAAAAACTGCAATACTGGTCAAAATCCTTTCATCACTGCAACCCCTTTCATATCACACCATAATTAGTGCCGTTTTAATGATTCAGATTAGTTCATATATATTGTTGTCATCATCAGGGGTTTGACAGACGAGTCAGAAATCCTGAAGTTCCTTCAGCACGGCACGCTGGTCGGCCTCCTGCCCGTCCCTCATCCCATCCTCATCAGGAAGTACCAGGCCAACGCCGGCACGGCCATGTGGTTCCGCACCTACATGTGGGGGGTCATCTACTTACGGTAAACAAACATGAATATAAGCCTGTATGAAACCGCTTTATTTTACGTGTGATATTTTGGGGCAATTCTACGGAGCCCCTGAGAGGCAAGTGAGAAACACAAAATGTCTCTCTCCTGTGTTCATTATGTACAAACTGGGAGAGGGGAAACAGATGCCAGGGTCATTTATCAAAGTTATTTATTTTGATTTATGATAACAGGTTGGAAAAAAACAATTTTTTCTTTTGTCAGGATTAAATGTTGGTTTTTGTGATACTGTTTGGCCACAAGAGGCTGATGTTCAATCATACTTTATTATCTAAATAGGAATAAAAGTATCTATGTTTATTTCTACGTGAGCTTAAATATCTCTGCAAACCTTTATCACAAGCTACATAATTTGTATCAAATTCACCGATATTTTTAAAGCAACCTGTAAGCTTATTCTGAAACAAACATTATTTTCCACCTGTTCTTCAGTCATAAACACATAGAGAGACACATCGATTTGACTTGTTTCTCTATCCTGATTTGTGTTACTACAGCAATGTGGATCCTCCCATCTGGTACGACACGGACATCCGGCTCTTTGAGATCCAGAGGATTTAGAGCAGCTGTTGAAGGTGTCCACTTTGTTCTCTTCACACACTCACTAACAACAGGATCTGCTGGTTTCCTCACACCTGAACTTTGCTCAGAGGAACCATTCACACTCTCTGGTGCTATTTGAAACAAGCAGAGATCATCTTGTACTTCATTCCTGCCAACTTTCAGGTTTCAGATAAAAAGACAGAATGTTTTAATGTGTCAAAACATACTGTGCATCATATACAATCACTGTCATTAACATTGCCAAATCGTCATTAAATCTCACAAAATCAGGAAATGGGTTGAATTTTTTTTATTCACTGTTCCAGACTAGCAAAACGGTCTTCATAGAGCTTGGGGCACTTTCACGTTGAAGCAGGAAAAGGACAAACAAAAACTGTTGTTGACAGAAAGTGGGAAAATCCTAGTTGTTCTCCAACCAGATACGAATGTCTGCTGAACCTTTAAATGTCCTTTATTGGTGGTTGAAGGTGGTTCCTTCACCAAAGATTCAATGAGATTTTACCATTCAACACTACTTAACTAAGTAGTAGTAGGTGTACAAAGGGAATCCTAAAAGTAAAAAACTAAGGATTCAACTTAGGCAATGTACAATCGGCACAATGTCGTATAACTTCAACGGTACTACCACTAAGCTTCAAACTTGCAATTGCATTTCGCGACAATCAAACAAAACTTCACATTGATAAATCTACAAGTTAGAACATTTTGGTTAGGATAGTCTATGTAAATATCCCCTCTGTGGGACGAATAAAGGTATTCTGATTCACATTTTTGATTCCAAGAGGCACCAGCATACACAACAGAACTGTTGAATTGGACTAGCAATGATGTTTAATGTCCCTAAAGGAACCGCTGTAGTTGGATTAAGCCAATTGTTAGCAACCACCCATTATTACTGCCAAAAGTCACGTGACTCACTCACGTGACTTTTGGCAGTAATATTCCGCAGGGACAGGCACATGCATAGATATATATATATCTATCTATCTATGGGCATATGCTCCACGGCAGCAGGGGCGCTACTGAGTCCATTGGGAAGGCGGAGGTTGAACAGAGCATGGAACAGCCTGTCACTACCCGATCAGCCATATGCCATACATTTTTGCATACATTCACAGTAAATATTTATTCAGTATGATAGCTGTCTAAAAGAAGTTAAATTCATTTCTCATTTATTCTGACAATGTACTTAACCCCAAATAAAAGAACCCAATAAAAAGAGTTGTTAAATAATAGTGAAGTCACGTTGTAACAATAACTCATCTCTCTCGCGTTTTCTTTTTGTGATTTGCCAAAAGCCATTGTGTCAAGAGTCCTTCTTGGGTTGCCGTCCGGAGTTGTCCAATATTGCAGACCATCTCGCACATGCGCACTGCAGATCGGGTAGTGACAGCCATAGATATATATATATATATATATATATGCATGTGCCAAAAGTCACATGAGTGAGTCACGTGACTTTTGGCAGTAATATTCCGCCGTGAGAAGAAAACGTTTTGTACTTGTAAAAAAAGTGTTGTAGTTGTAAAAAAAAGTTGTGTACTTGTAAAACCTATGCTGAATTTGTCTCTGAAACATGATTTATTAGAAAAATGTTATGTGTTTGTTTGATAGATACGTTTTTTCTTTGCAAAACTTAATGCATTAGTTTGTAGATGGTGTTTTGTATTTGCAAACCACATTGTGTTTGTTAGTGAATCATGAGGCGTTTGTTAAAACCTGTTTAGTTTGTTTGTGGAGTTATGGCAGGAAATTAGCTCCATAGTTTGTGCACAGATGGAAGGCTGACAGGCAGGTAGGCCATCCAGTTATTTTAGCCGGGCCGGCTCAGATGATTGGTCGTGCTTTTTACAGTACCACGGCTTCCACAGGTGACATTTTTTTATGTATTTATTGTCAAAGCATTTAATATATTCATTGCTATCGGGATGTTAAGAGCATTCCATGGAATATAACAAGTGTTTCTGAAGTGAATCACCTACCCCACCTTTAAGCTTTTAAGGACTATTGGAACTAAAGGGAAAAAACATGAAAAACAGCCTAAAAAAGAAAGAAAATCCTCAAACTCTTTTTCAAACTTACATTTCATACATAAACCAACTCATTTATAAGTGAGTATCATGTTGTTTTTCCACTAAACCTTTGTATATTTCCTGCTATAACAGTCATGTGGTCAGAGTTATGCCTCTGCTGCAGGTCAGGCAGAGATGAGCAGCTCCATCAGAGCCCCCACTGAGTGCATCCTGTAGAAAACACTGAGCGGCTGACCCAGGTTCACCAGAGCAAACCACACGGAGAAGCCGAAAAACTGTTTCCCCAGGCCGTTCTCAAACTGGGGGTGGACTCCAAACGCAGGGATCACCCACAGCTGCAACAATAGGGAACGTATATCAACTTTATACAGCAGAAATAACAAAGAAACTTTTATTTATTTTTAACACGTGTGCCTCGCTTTAGGAGAGATGTTTAGGTGTCCATAGAGGACAACAAAGTTATAAAACACTGCCACAAAAAGTTTATAAATATTATTTTCCACTTTCATTGAGTTAAAAATGTTAACGAACTTCACTTCTTAAAGCAAAATACTGATTTTTTGTATTTATTTTAAAACACTGAAATGGAATGTAAATAGCCAGGGAGAATTGTTTTTCTGTTTCAAAGTCTAGGAAATGTCAATGATGAGCAACACGAGTTAAGATGCATTTAGTATTAATTAAAAAAAAGTATCCCTTCCTACAACTGCTAGAAAAATGTTATACATTAATATTATATTCACTTTTACTGACTTAAGTATTTTACCAACATCAGACCTAAAGTATTACTGCCTAATATATCAGAGTGTAATCATTTTCAATAAAAACAACTAAAATATCATTTGTATGTGAAGTGTTAGGGGATTACTTTTGGTTTTACAGCCTGTACTTCCGCTACACCCCTACCCCATAAGACTTATTAAAGGGTACTGACTGACAGCAACAAATACAACACAAAATCACAACCTCACCAGATGTATGCTCAATCATTAAAAAAGTCAAAAATAATCAGAAATATATAAAGATTCAAATAAATCAGACAACAGACACTCACCATAACATTAGAAAGGATGAGGAAGGCACAGATTTCTTGTATGGCTCTTTTGGTCCAGGGTTTTTTCCCATCATGCTCTTCAGCAGCAGCTGACGTGTTCCCCTCCAGTAGCGAAACATCTGTCTTCCTCTCTTCTGGTGTTTGAGCAGCAACCTTTTTCTTAGGCTGTGGCAGAGTTTAATGTTGAAACAAAACCTTTGAAATGACTGACTTCCAGTTCCGGTATACAAAACATTAAATGCAGGGAGTACTATACAAAATATCTAATTTGACTGAAACAGAAATCATTTTGCCGTCAAAAAGTTGATTTACTTGAAAGATCTGTAAAAATTGTGTTATCATTTCTTGTAAATAAGCTATTTAGCAAAAGCTTGATGAAAGAAATATAAAATGTTTACATAAATAATACTTAAATGTGTATTTAACTAAAAGCAGCCCTAGCAGGTACCTTGAAGATGCTGCTCCGCTGCTTCTCCTTCCTCTTGGCGAAGAGGTTGGGGTGCCTGTGCAGGCCTTCGATGATGAAGATGTTCTGGAGGATGAGCTCCAGCAGGCTGAGGAGTGAGTAGGACAGGTCCAGGTCCCCCAGGGGCCTCTGGGTCCCCACAGCCAGCGCCGCCACTAGGGAGAAGTAGGACAGGGCGAGCTGACCCAGAGAAGCTGCCACCAGGAGCAGAACATCCAGGCTGCGGGTGGGGTTGTGCCCCCCCTCGTTGGCCCTCCTCTCCAGCCTGTAGACCAGCATCCCGCCCAGGGAACACAGAGACATGGCGGGCATCACGGCCAGGTGGTACCCGTAAAATATGTGGAAGGCGGTGAGGCGGAGCTGCTGCTGCCCCACCCAGACCTGGTAGAGAATGAAGACGGCCACCCCAGCTGCGAGCACCAGGGCCCCCAACACCAGCCCGTATATGACCCCCCCTTGGTAGACAACTTGGAAGGTGAGCTTCTGAGACTCGTGGTGGGGGCCCGGACTCATCCTGCGGCCTACATTCTTCCACATGACGTAGATCAAGCAGCCTGCCATCAGGTAGAACTCCATGTTGAAGGGGTAGAGGATCTCGAAGCCTTTCCTGAAGATCAGGCAGCCTGCACTCACACTGCACTGGCACCAGGTGGAATTGGCAAGTCCTGAAGCAAGCATGGAGGAATGTTAAAAAAAAAAATATAGACATATAGTACAAGCAGTGGTAGAGGACACATTCAAGTAATTTACTTGAGTAAAATGACTGAAAACTACCCTGTTAGTAAGTTACAATTCTGCATTGAAAGTGTAACGCAAGTAAGTGTATTCAGTCAAATGAAAATAAGTGTAGGAGCCATTTTATGGGTGTTGTTGGTGTGTCAGTTTATTTGAGTTATATGTATAGTGCAATATTATTTATGAACACTGGGTGGCGGGGTTTAGCTGCACCGGGTGTATATAAGGAGGTCATAGGTGACAGGAGAGGTGTAGACACAGGAGGAAGAGAGCATACCGATTCCACCAGCCCGGCAGATGCTCATCACAACAATTAGAAACTGTACAATTAACCCTGGTATGTAAAGCTGAATAAACAACATTATAAACTTCAACAAAGGACCGTAAATCATGTTTGTGTCTGCGTCTGGATCACTCTTCAGCCCTTCTGTGAAAGTAACGGCAAAAATATCTAGGACATAGGAGAAGGAAATTGCCATTACATTAAGTGGAATCGCACTCTTTGAGTGAAACTGGACAATAAGAATCACTTCAAATTGGATTAAGGATCGTTTTCAACGGAAACAAACAATTGGATTAATGCACAATCGACATCGTCATCACGGATCAGCTGCACACGCCACAATCAGCTGGAGATTGTTCCCACCTGCGAGGACCGAAGAGGCTGAGAGCAAGACTGGGAAAGCGGCCGGGTATGTGCAGCGTGATAAGTAGATTGTATTGGAGATATTAAGCTGTATTGGACAATGGCTTAGTAAATGGATGTAATGCTGCAACGTTGTCAGCTGTTTGAAACAGCGCGCTGTCAGCTAACGGCAGTGGCGAGCCGTGACTTTTATACCTAGGCCCTCTGACCCCCCTTCCCTCGAAAAAAGAGATATGTCTCAACATAGACTTCAGCCGAATATCAAAACAGCGGCCCGGGGTGCAAAACGCATCAATGACAGCGACCCTCTACCACACAAAACAACACCATTTATATAAACACCTATCATGACAGGGCACCCACAGCCAAGTAACAATTACAAATGAATTAAGTCTGCACGGCGGCCCGCATTGAAAATGACTTAGGCCTACCTTTGATGATCAAATCACTGAAACACAAAGTCCATCCTCCTGTCCTTTTGGATGAAGCACTTGATGGAGGGTCATTCAGCTGATCCTTTGCCACTCCAGTTTATCATTGTAACTCAATCTTGAAAATGACTCGGTTAATAATTTCGCAACGATGTCATCACTATCACTGAAGTGAGCCATCATGAACGAACTTATGCTAATTATAAATCTATCGATCATAAATCTATCGATTAGATTTATGATTCAAAAGTAGGATAGACATGTGGATATTATCCGGCTGAACACAACGTGCATTTATCTAACAGGTTCGTTTTCCACAGACCTTATTTCGAGCTATTTTCCAAAATCCTATGGAGAAATCCCATTGCTTTCTGTCGAGGGAATCCGAGCGCAGCTTACTTCCGGGTTTTAGGACGCGTCACTGCACCACTTGCATAGACCTCAGTCACAGCGGGCGGAACTTGTCATAAAGTCCGCGAAAATAAAGCCTGCCCATTTAGAGGGAAGATATGATTGGTCAATTGTACTGTCATTTGACATTACTCTCTCATTGAGTTACTATAGCGGGCCCTCTGTGAATCTACAAAGGGACCAACAAGCCCTCCCGTGGAGTCCCGTCTTCACATAACTCGCAGAGACGGCATTTAACCCTTCACATTCCAACAGAAACTGAACAGGCAGATTCGAAGGATTTATTTCTTTGGAAATATTATTTTAAATACAATTAAATTATGTTATTTTGGTAAAACTAATGAAAAATGTAACAACTAAAAAATAATATTATTATTTTTTTTTTATGTTTTCAAATATAATTTTTTAGAATATCTTAGGCCCTCACAGAGGGCATAGAGGTCCCTGACGGCTCGCCACTGGCTAACGGACAATTCCTGAAAACGAAACTTAAAGGGACAGTGAACATTAATCATGTCTGTGAAATCTGACGTCACGTCACAAGATGGCGCTGTTGGACTGCAATCTGTGAGGGAAAAAAGGATTATCACTCACACTGCCAAAGGATTGGAATTGTTTATTGCAAACTGTCAAAAAGCAAGAAACTTCAGCTACAAACAAGTAAAGAAGTTAATGGAAATACAGTTGAAACTGGTTGAATTTATGAAGTTGTGGGATGAATTAAAAGCAAATCACAAATCATTAACCGACCAACTGCCTGAAGAAGAAATGGGAAAGCAAAAGCAGTGGCTGCAAGAAAAGATGCATATATTTGATGGATTTATACAAGATGCAAATGTGTGGTTATCTGAGAGTGGACAGGCAATTACACACTCTATTGTGGGAAGTGCCATAGAACAAAGTGTCAGCTCAGATGACATCGGACCTGATGACAGCATTTCAAAGGCATCACACCCTCAGTCAAGACACACAACTGGTTCATCACACGCATCATCTACCTCTTCTGCTCGAATTAAAGCCCAGGCAGACAGGGCGGCTTTAATCGAAAGGGCGGCAGCACTGAACAGTCAACATGAGCCTGATGTACAAGGGGAACAATTAAAACAACAGGAAGAACAGGTGAAACGGAAAAAGGAACAATTGGATTTACAAACTAAACTGGCAGAAGCCAGTGCCAGGCTAAACGTGCTCAGCATGGGATCAAGACACACCTCGAGAGCATCAGATGGGATGAGCTCTTACTTCAGAAACTCTACAGCAAGATTTAATCTACATGCAACTGAATTCCCGCCTCATCAAGCCCAAACCTCTATTCCCAGACAAAGTATACAGACACATGTGCAGGGACATGTTGACATCACACCACCTGTAATCAACAATGGTAATCAAGGTGACATCTATAACCTAATCCAGAGGCAAAATGACATCACTGCTATGCTGGCTCAACAACATCTCACTTCTACTTTACCTCCAAGAGACATTCCTGTTTATGACGGTGACCCATTGCAGTTTGAAGCCTTCATCCGTGCATTTGAAAGAGGAGAGCGGAAAACTGATGATGAAAGTGACTGCCTGCATTACCTAGAGCAATACACTAGAGGACAACCAAAGGACCTTGTGTGCAGCTGCCAACATCTGCCTCCAGCTCAAGGTTATCAAAGGGCAAAACAGCTGCTTAAAGAGCACTTTGGTAATGAACATAAGATCGCCACTGCATACATGAACAAAGCATTTACCTGGACAATGACCAAAGCCGAAGATGTGAAAGCACTGCAAGCCTTCTCTTTGTTCCTAAGAGGTTGTTGCAATGCAATGGAACATCTCACCTATATGGATGAAATTAATGTTGTTTCAAACATGAAACACATTACATTACATTACATTACATTGCATTTAGCTGACGCTTTTGTCCAAAGCGACTTACAATAAGTACATTCGACCAGGAAGACACAACCTTGAAGAAAACAGAATCATATAAGTATATCAGGTTTCATAGAGCCAAACATTTCAAGTGCTACTCAACTGGCTTTAGGTAATCCAGTCCTTTATTGGTATAAAAGTATACTTCAGAACACATACCCTACAAACTCAGAGACAAGCGGAGGAATAGAGCATGTCAGCTACAGGAAGAGCGTGGGCATCGAGCTACATTTCCTGACCTTGTCAACGTTATAGAAAGGCAAGTGAAGATACTGTCAGATCCTCTGTTTGGAAGCATCCAGGACGATAAACCAACTGCAGCTATCGACAGCAGAGATGCTAATGGCCACCCTGCTGCTGCTGTCAATCGGATAGCCATTGTACGCCTAGAGGAGCTATTGGTCAAACAATACAATCATGATTTCAAGGAAAATACAAGCAAGGAAACAGAGGAAATGTCCAGAGAAGACAAACAATTCCTGAACATTATGAATCACTCTGCAAACATGTCAGACGCCAAAGAGGATGGAGATGTTGTAGCAGACGCCAAAGAGGATGGAGATGTTGTAGCAGACTCCAAAGAGGATGGCGATGTTGTAGCAGACGCCAAAGAGGATGGAGATGTTGTAGCAGACGCCAAAGAGGATGGCGATGTTGTAGCAGACGCCAAAGAGGATGGCGATGCTGTAGCAGACGCCGAAGGAGACAGTGATAGGGATGTTGAAGGCAAAACTGAGGCCCCCCAAGAAGAAGAAGATGAGGGTCGGGATTCAGGTGATTACTATGAAGAGGCAGAAGACGAGCCTTTTGAAAGCCAGCTGACTTCAGACTCCTGTCACAGCATGCCTGACTTCACAGCAGATGTCGAGTTACACCAATCTGACGTAGTGCCTGAGGAAGAAGCCAAGCTTGTGGCCGAGAAAGTGAAGATGTCAGATGGACACTACTGCCTAGACTTGCCATTCAGACAAGAAAATCCCAGCTTGCCCAACAACAAACACGTTACCGAGCAGCTCATCTGCGATTTTGCTGCTATGGTAGCAGGGCACCGGCTGAATCCAAGTGACAGACCTGAAGAAGTGACTGACTCATCAATACAGGAGCCCTAGGAGAGGCTTGGAATTGGGTGAAAATATAACCCACAGGTTCTCTCAGCGCTGGACAATGGCAACACGACTGCTTCAACCTAAGAACAGCAAAGACTGATGACCCTTAAAATAAGGGAAAATAAACTGAAAATTCTTTAAGAATTTCATACCAACACATACACACCATTTTTATAGCTCCTTTATTATTTATTGGTAATTGTTTTTGTTTTCATACTAAAGCCAATTAGGAGCTGGTGTGTAGGAGCCATTTTATGGGTGTTGTTGGTGTGTCAGTTTATTTGAGTTATATGTATAGTGCAATATTATTTATGAACACTGGGTGGCGGGGTTTAGCTGCACCGGGTGTATATAAGGAGGTCATAGGTGACAGGAGAGGTGTGGACACAGGAGGAAGAGAGCATACCGATTCCACCAGCCCGGCAGATGCTCATCACAACAATTAGAAACTGTACAATTAACCCTGGTATGTAAAGCTGAATAAACAACATTATAAACTTCAACAAAGGACCGGAAATCATCTGTTTGTGTCTGCGTCTGGATCACTCTTCAGCCCTTCTGTGAAAGTAATGGCAAAAATATCTAGGACATAGGAGAAGGAAATTGCCATTACAATAAGTATTTATAATTTCCTCTGTGACTGTAATATATTATGCCAGTTTTTTATCGTTTGTGTGGTTGCTTTGTGGAAAAAGTAAGAAATCCCAAATCTAAAAATGATTACTAGTATATTACACTTATCAATATTAAAAGAAAATCAGTGCATCTTCTTGTGGAGCTGGAACCATGAAATGTTTTTTACATTAATAAATAAATAAATATCTTAAATGATAAATAGTTAGCAATTCATTTTCAGCTTATCTTATAATCATTTCAGCTGGAATAGCACATTTTCATGTATTTTGTGCAAACAAATGTAATTTGATAAAGCTTTCAGATAAACACAGTTTGGTAAAAAGTACAATATTTCCATTTGAGATGCAGTAGGGTAGAAGTAAAATGTAGTATGAGGAAAAAAAATAATACTAATATTAATCAACAGTGCAAGTGCCTCAAAATTGCAAAACTTGAATAAATGTACTTACTTTTCAAAGTAAGTAATTGTGTTTGATTACAAGGGGGAGGGGCATGATTCCACCTGAGACGTTTAAGTAGCCTACCTGCTAAATCAGAGCTGTCTGCTTCAGATGAGTTTATGTTGCTGAAGTCCAGCCGGTCTTCTTTCTCTAACTCGATCTCCTCGTGGATGGTGTCCTCCGTCACGGCGTTGAGCCACAGCACCAGGTCAGCGGAGAGGATGACCATCAGCCCCGACCTGCAGCAAATAAGAAGGTTAAAAACACAAATGCAACAATAACATTCCCGTGTATATTAAACGTGTGGAAAATATACATAGTGATGCACCTGGTGATGATCTTATGTCTGTGAATGCAGTCTTTGGAGTGAGCCCACAGTAAATATGTCTGCAAAATAAAACCAGTATAACCAGTTATACAATAAAGCACTATACATTTACTAAGTACTTTTTTTAAAATAACATTGTCATGCTACAGAAAAAAAAGTGATAGAGGACACATAAATGAGCCAAGACATATTGGAATCAAAGTTTGGTTCCGTTTTGGATTTTTGGTGTGCAGTAGAGAACTAGATTCTATCTACCTTAAACGTTTCAACTTTTATAGAAAACTCTTATCGTTTTAGAGCTGTCACATTATAAACCACATTTTTTGAAAATGGAATGTTTATTCAAGCTATCTGTCCCTTGATCTTTCACACAAATATTTGATGACCAAACCAATTTCACTGGCTGATGAACACTCTACTGTAGTTGAAATCTCTCGACAAAGTTGGCAAGTAGACCTATGAGTTTATATTGTTTTATTTTACTTTACTTGTGGGGTGAAATCAAAGACTATGCCGTTTTTAAAGCAATTCAAAGATTATTATTATAAGGGATGTTTGAAGCTCTATTCGTACGCATGCTTATTACAATTCAACATTTGCACTTTTTGTCTTTTTTTGTTTCAATCAAGATAAATCCATAATAATAATAACACATTCCTCCACTTGGCCTAGTGGAAAAGGTCACCTTCTATACTTATGGCATGCTTTGTCCATTTATTTATTTTTATAATAGATTAGAATATTCATATTAATAGCTGTTACAATCACAATGATCATGTTCCTTTCTTCCACAATCATCTTAGTTTTGCTCATTGTAGCCCCTGTTCAATGTGAACCAGCTGATGTTCTCTTTCCCACAGTATACAAATCCGTACCTGCAGCGCGAGGAAGGGAGCCTCGATGAATGGAGAGAGCACTTTAGCAGCGGGCTTACACTCCCTCATACTGATCAAATAACCAACCCTGAAGATATACAGCAGCAGACTGAATGCAGCAAACAGCATGAGCACCACTGGAGCACAGAGAGAGAAAGACATATTTATTACAGGATTCAAACTAATATAATCTAGTATTCTGTCAAAATGATACAGGAGCCTACCGGTGACAGTGATTCCCCCGGCGTGGTGGTCCTTGTGTGGGCAGATGCCAGGCTGCTTACTGGCCCACAGCAGGTACCACAGCATCCACAGAATGCTGGCCCCCATCAGCAGCAGCATGAACACCTGGGGCTCCTGGTGCTTCAGGCCCTCAGGGTTGAAGGCCTGCCCGGCCACCAGGGCGGCCCCCAGCAGCATCACATTCAGACCCAGCAGACCTGAGATCAGACGCCTCCCGCTTGGGACCCACACCAGAACCGGGTCCTGCTCCGGCTCCTGGATCTGAAGTTCTGAGTTCTTAACTGGTTCATCATTTTGGAGATTTCCAGCTTTCCCCCAGGAGGAATCCAGATCTGTTAAGCCGTTATCATTCATGATTTTACTTCAAGATACAATCCTTAGTTCCTTTCACCTTCCTTCTCCTTTTTCTGCTTTCCATTCAGTTCCAAGGACTTTCTCTTTTTACTTTCCCGCAGTTCGACATGTGAAGGCTTGCAGCTGAAGGGTGCTGTAATCCGCCTCCCACACCAGTGTAGTGTAGTGTTTACTTTTCATGTTGACCTTAGTTTTACTTGAAGTCGCTTCATGGTCCCAAAGAAGCTGAGCAGAATCTTATCTCAGCTTTTGTTTGTTTAAAAGACTCAAACACAAACCCTTAAAAGGATCATTTGTATATGAATTACTCGCACTGTTTAAATTCCTGAGGAACAATTTTTTTTGGGCAGTGTTTCTTTTGGTCAGTGAAGTTATTTGACTTTGAAAGGGTTTATCAGCCGGGCTCTCTGCCAGGTAATACCACTGTTTGTGTTCACTCTACACCAGGAACTGACTAATACATGAAACCTCACTCTTATCACTTCAAGTAGCAGCTAATAGTTCACAGCTGATAACCTGCTGAAACTGCTGGATTTACTTTCAGTGTCACGTTCAAATGTTCATGCAGGTGGTTTTGCATGGTTTAGCCAATTTAAAAACAATTGAGTGTAGGCCTGCTTTACATCACGCCTTGTCTTTTGTAAACATGTTGCGTTTGATATGGAAATGAAATTGTAGGGTAACACACGTCATTAGACATTTGAACTAGCTTGAATTTTAAAAGTCATCAGACCACACAGTCTGCATTATTTTTGGTAAAGATGACAGGGGCTACATTTGTAATCAATATGCATTCAAACTAGATAAATGCATAATTTAAAAATGTCAAAGATATTAACTTCACTATCTGCTAAATGGTTTTACAAACACACAGAAACTAATGGAAAGCATGCCTGGAACAGTAGGACAAATATATCCAAAAGTCTGATATTGGGTTGCAAAATACAGCTACTTCTATATTTAAAGTATACTTTATTTGACTTTAGGGATTTCAAAATTGCAAACATTTTAAGGATATACTTGGGTTATTGTTCTAAATAAAATAAAAATCTATTTTGCATGATTCCTTAACACCATCATTAGTTAATAAGAAAATGCAGATGTAAGTTTGACTAACCACATTTTATATTTAATATTGATATTTTCAGTGCAATTGTTACTGCCACAACGTGCTTTCCTCGTGTGAGAGAACGAGGGAATTACAAAGAAACTAAAATAAAATGAATAGAACCAAAAAAACATGCCATTCCGTTTTTAAAAGGGGCGGGTGTTTTCTTTATAGCTCCGCCCCTGCTTGACAACCAGCACGCCTCGTGTTCGTCTCCTAGCAACTAGGCTGTCAGCCAGCTCCGTGCCTCTCCGGGCCGTCGGACCGCTGCTCACACGCCGCTACCGGACTTTAAAAGTTGCCTTACTAACAAGGCAAACCTTCCGGAACCTCCATGGAACCGAACCCAGAGTGAGCCAGGCGGGCTGCCGAAGCAGAGGCGCCGCCATGAACGACCGGTACCACCGGGCGGCCCGGGACGGCTACCTGGACGTGCTGAAGGAGGCCACACGGAAGGAGCTGAACGCCCCGGATGAGGATGGGATGACACCGACCCTGTGGGCGGCGTACCACGGCAACCTGGAGGCCCTGCGGCTCATCGTGGGGAGAGGGTGAGTCCGAGCATCCTCCCTCACCAGAGAGATAGTTCATCCACTAACACCTGTTTGCTCATTTCAGCAGAAATGTCCGAGAGGGAAAATATTGTAACGTGTCTGTTTACATGACCAACAGTTATTGTTTACCTTTTATTATATTATTTTGACGCTATTTTCTGTATGTAAATAAGTGGATTTTTTTCTATTTACTTCACGTGCTCTAGGAAAAAACCTTTACATATTGAACTATATTTTAAATTGCTATGGTAGAACTGTTCTCTACTCGTGCATAAGGACACATCTGATGACATTAAACTAAATTGTGAGTTATTCTTGTCATAATATATTATGCCTGTGGGCACATAAGACTATTCTTTCTATTTAGTTTACATGTATTTATATGTTGAATACGAAAGATCTGCACATATGTAATAATGTAACTCTTTGGGCTTGAATGGGACCAACTATAATCAAATATTGTGGAATTTTCTATTAACAAAAAGGATGTAAAAATGTAACATTTAGAAAGAAGAGACTAATGCCCCCACTTTCCTGTTGTTATTATAAAATGTCTTAACACCAATCCTTGATCCTCAAGCTTCACACGAATAAATATTAACAAATTGTATATTGTTGACCTCAGCGCTGTGTGCTTATATTCGCATGAATACACAAATCTTATAACCCACCCCCATTGCTAATGTAATCAGGGTCGCTGGAGATGCAGTGCTATACATTTTAACTGCCTGATTACAAAGGAAAGGTCACTTGCAGCTGATGCTCAAACATAAAACACACTCTATAGCAGTAGAAAGACTGAAGCATGATTACTTTATTTGAATGTCACATGTGTGGCTAATCCATGACATGGGCCCAGTTCAGGTGCAGGGATAACGCACTAAATCTAACACCTCACATGCAGTGGATAGGATCTGCGTTCTTACAGCCTCACGCTGCATATTGTGAAAGAAAACTGAGATAATGATAAAAGGCTTTTGTTCAAGGTTTAGGAGAGGAAGCAGTGTGATATTTCACAGCAGGGCACCGTGCAGTATGTCATGCTGCTGGTGGCAGGTTTATAAGGCGAGCAGTAAAGTGGAGGGCAGTTGGGTCTGATGCTTGGGAGGGACACAGACAGAGGGAAAGGTCACAGTGATGGATAGAGACGGTTTCTACTACGGCTCATGGAGCATGTGGTGTAAAGAGTCAAGCAAAGACAGAATAGTAAACTGAGCTGCAGTTCAACTCACAGCAGAAGATGAGGAAAACAGTAGCGGTTGTGAGCAAGAAAACGTGTCATTTCTCATCAACTTTTCAGATTGTTCTTTTCTTCGTTTTACACATTAGAACTGAAACCATTTTTTCAACAGAATAAGGTAAGGCAAAATGTTGGTCATGTAAGAAACATTGTCTAACTAAAAATAACAATTCTGATTCAACAAGTAACATATCTGGTTCAAGAACAAATGTGCATAACAACTTTCTGTAGGCATCAGAACTGATGCCCCACACCCCAATTGACTGCATTTGTACCACTAAGGCACAATATCAGCTGAAACAGATCCCTTAGTATTACTAAATATCAATGAACCGTTTAATTGAGCAGCCATATGAAACATGTATTAATAAAGCAACCTAAACTAGTATTTTTATCCTAAATATTCATGACTTAATAAGCAAAAATCAAAGTCTAAAAAAACATCTAATGGTAATTGAAAGTGCATGCATAAAGCATTACCTTTAAACCAGTGAAGAAATAGGAACAACATGGCAGAACATAGTTTGTTCATGTCGGAGCCATCACTCAAATGTCAGGCACTTTTAGAAATTAATTATTGCAGATCATATTTTTGCTAAAGTGGTACACAAGTTGTGTTTAATCAAATGACCTAAATAAACTATGAGCATGAAACTGCATAATGACCTACTATTCATTGTAGGCCATAGGAAGACAGAAATGGTGTATGTGTGCGTTACAATAGTGTGCAAACTATTGTGTATGTGAGAAATGCTTAGAGGTATACTACATTAGCAAAGTTTTGCTGAGTACACTGCGTGAGCTTGGTGGACATCATCAACTGCCCCATATAGTCAAAGGTGGAAAGTAAGTACATTTACTCAAGTACTGTACTTAAGTACAATTTTACTCCACTACATGTATTTAATACCTTTAGTTACTTCACAGATGTGGATGAATGATGTGAAATATAATCAAGTGTTGAATCACACTTTAGTTCCACCTGGAGTAAATCCACCAGCTACCCTGCAGAATACAAAGTCATTCAAACTAGCTGCACCTTTACCAGCTTTGAGAACACTTTCATGATCAATCATTATAAAACATATCATATATATTATTCTGAAATGGACCAATCTGCACAATGACTACTTTTACTTTTGGTACTTTAAGTATATTCTGGTGCTAATACTTGTGTACTTTTACCTGAGTAACAATTTGAATGCAGGACTTTTACTTGTGACAGAGTATTCCTACACTCTGGTACTTCTACTTTTACTCAAGTACAAGATCTGAGTACCTCTCCCACCTCTGCATATAGTGATAGAAACAGTCATGTGATCAATGCAGTTAAGTACAGTACATTAGTATATGATTTGGAACACAGTTTAAGAGTACGCAGTCCTGCTAGCAGCCCTATGAGGCTGTTCCTAGGTACATCAAAAACAACGTGCTGATGTTTTGCATGTATTCCATGGTCCCCTGAGTATGTTATCATGTCAACATTTGTTTCCGAGCGTTGGACACATTCAAATTGTGACCTGATTATCACAAACAAAATACACCTTATCCTCTGCGGAACATGTATGTCCATACAACTTCTTATCCAGTGTGCTCTTCTTTGCCGTGGCGTGCTGGGGGGGAAACACCAACAAAAGGGATGCTGAACAAGCTCATAAAACTGGACAACCTGGAGGAGGTGGCTGAGGGGAGGGCTCAAATTATCAACGTTTTACCTCGTTGTGATATCTCGTTTTAACAGTTACTTATATAATGTTATACTGTCCTGTTTTTCACTCTCCCTCTGTTGCTACTTTCAACTCCTGAATTCCCCCATTGGGATAAATGAGGGTCCATCTTATCTTATGGTAATGGTTCCAGCAGAAAATGTTCCGTCTGAATCAAAGTTGGAGCCAGTCTGACTGGCATTGCTACACTATCTACAAATAAATGTTTTTTTTCTGGGTCTGGTTGAAAATGATGAATCTTCCTGTGCAGTCTGATCTGTAGTCAGTGGGAACTTCCGGGCAACATTTCACAGAGAACGAGGATACGTTTCGGTTGGTACCAAACAGTATTAAAGTTTCAGAGTAAACAGGTGGTTGTTTGAGGTTGGTGT